GGACGTTAACTTTAGGGGAAAGTTCCATAGGCTACTGGTTATTATATGGTCACACAACAACGTTTCAAATATGACAACTTAATTAATGAAAGCAAAGATTAAATGTACATTTAATTCATGAAGATATAAGTCTTAATTCTAATTACATCTAATTCATAAGAATTATACTTGAAAATAATAACCAGCTAACATGCTAGCCAATTTATTAAGTCGACAATTATGTGGGTAGGATTTGATTTTTTTACTTCAAAATTAAAACCTATGACCTTTTACTTTACAAATCTAAAAATCTTGATGTGTCCAAAACCCCTTATTAACAAATACATACAAAACAATACAATGTCATAGATCAACCAGCTAACACACGACGTAACAGTTACGTAATGTATTCGTACTTTTTGGTCACATCATAACTTTACAAATGGACAACGTAACTACTACATCGCATGCTCGTAATTTCATTACCATCATATTACCAACCCACAACCTCGTCAGTACGTCCTCATAAGGTTATGATAACCAACAACGTTCCAGATACATAATCGTAACTTGCTAATTTTATGACTTACTGGCAACGAAACTGCAACGTCACGGGCCGTTATTTCATTACCATCTTTCATTTATGTAAAGCATTCTTTAGTGCTTTTACAAATCGGCTATATATAATAAAAATAAAAGCAAAAGCAATGTGATGGTATAAAAAATAAAGCATTTTTCAAGTGAATGGGTCATAGAACTACACAATGAGTTTTAAATTCATGATTTAAAATTAATGATATTTTAAATTGTTATATGTTAAATTATAGATGTTTATTTAAATGCGTGCCTTGAAGTGTTCTATGGTTTTAATGTGCGTGCGCGTAAACATTCGAGTCGCATTCAAAGACCGGAGCGCGCGCGAGCTGATGGAAACCATGGAAACGAGGACACTCATCAACTGACAAACAGCAAAACTAGCGTCTCTCGCTGTTGTTTTCACTGCTTTCAGGTAATTTTAGTTAACAAAATCACACAAATAATACACACAAACGTTCCTGACACCTTTCTTACGTGTAATTGATACGCTTCTGTTGAATATTTACTTTACAGAAATGGTTTTGTCTTCGAAAAAGTCTGTTAGCATCTCAACTGTTTTCAGAAGAGGTAAGTTAAGTTAACGTTACACTGGAGCTCTTGTTATATATAAGTTTGGGGTTTTAACCACATCTTTGTGTTGTTTTTGATAACAGTTTTTGATAGTTTTGTTTTGCTGGTAATTTGTCAATGGGTGATTGGAAGTAAGCTAGTACAGTTAACCAGTGACGTCACTTACAAAAAAAACAGTCTTTGTGCAGTTTACAGACACTATTCAATAACGCGATTAGAACAAAGCACTTAAGAATAAACTTGCTTCATCAGCTCTCTCTCTCTCTCTCTCTCTCTCTCTCTCTCTCTCTCTCTCTCTCTCTCTCTCTCTCTCTCTCTCTCTCTCTCTCTCTAGAATAACAACTGTTTTGATGTATCCCTTCATTTATTTACTTATACACCAAAGTGAAGTAAAAAGTAATTAAAAAGTCGTTGAAGTGATTGGTAAATATGTTTTTTTTTTTTTTTTTTCAGGCACCAGAAGAAGAATTTCGGGCACCTCCTGAGGATGAAGACAGTGACTGACATACACGCACACACACACTGTATATATTTAATATTGTTTCTGTATCACTCACTGTATATAATAATAGCTACTGTTTCCTAATATTTGGAAAAACTTAGATTTTTTTTATTTACTGGATTCATTTTCTGTATGCTTCCTATGCATGACCACATTAATATTAATCTACAATCTGTTTTTGTTCACACAAAATAAATATATAAATGAAGGATCCCTGCTTTGTATTTTATCTTTGATTGTGTTAAACGTGCATGCTTATTCCTGATTAAGGTTCTGCAAGAAGAACAGTTTCTGCAGTTACATTCTAGTTTGGTTCCCTGTGCAGGTCCTTGAAACCAGTGGGGACGGTCTTAGAACGTTCTAGGAACATCACATTTCCAAATAAAACATGGTCCCCTAAACGTTCCGAGAACGTCCCGAATGTTCCGTGAAGAACCGCAAAATAACGTCCTCCGACCCTTTAAAGACCTCCACATCACGACCGTCTCAGAACGTTCCCGGAACGTTACTAGGCAACGTATTTGACACCAGTGGGGACGTTCTGAGAACGTTTTCATTTCCAAATAAAACATGGTCCCCTAAACGTTCCGAGAAGGTCCCGAAGGTCCGCAAAATAACGTCCTCCGACCCTTTAAAGAACTCCACATCACGACCGTCTCAGAACGTTCCCGGAACGTTACTAGGCGATGTCCTTGACACCAGTGGGGACGTTCTGAGAACGTCCTGGGAACGTAACATTTCTAGCTGGGTTAACATTGCCGTGTTCAGACCCGGAACTCGCGCTGTGTGAACAAAAGCCAGAACCAATGCCGTATAAGGGGTGTGTCGTAGTGAGGATTCACGAGCCTTTGCAATGACGTAGTTATCGTGCGACTCAGTTACTCTAGAAGAAAGTTTGTGTTCATCATCGATACAAGAAAGAACGAAAAAATGTCTGCAAACTGGACTGAAGTAGAGACCCGTCACATCCAACGTCACGTGTCTTTCCGGAACATACACGGGTTGTGTGTGAACGCGCTCTCTGATTCCGGCAAATCACTGGCAGTGTGAATGAAGCAAAATCAAACGAACCCGGGTCAAATCCCGGGTCACTTTATCCGTGTATTTTCCGGAATCTCTGTGTGAAAGGGGCTTTCATTTAGGATTGGATTGATCATTTAAACGTTTTGTCATTTTGTTTCTTTCCATTTGGAAAATCAAGTCTTACACTAGTCTAGGCTACTGTATAGAGGCAACCAGGGCACTGTTCAGACTTCATTTTACTGATTTTATATCAGAGTTACTGGCTGCAGATAAAGTAATTGTTGGTGATTTTAATATTATGTGGATAATTATGTATTTTTTAAATTTCAAAATTTTAACCAAAAAAATTGCCTTGCCTTATAGTTTCTCTTGATATCAGCATGTTCACAGCTGTTTATTTTTATTTATTTACAGGGACCAGATGCCACTGAGGAGTCCTGACTTCAACATTCACATGAAAAATCAAACACCTTGGAAATGACAGGTATGTAGGCTACTATGTTTCAGGAATGGCACAAAGGTGTGTGACTGTTCAAGTCTCTGTTCAAGACTTTAGCATGAAAATGTCACAAGTAACAGAAATAAGCACAAACCTCCAGGGCCCGAAAACACCTCAGACCCCAGAGGGTTAACGCACGTTTTTTAAATAATATCCACATATCATTTTGGTGGATTGAGTCTGTGGAAATGTCATTTAAGTGTGTTTAGTTTTCATTTTGATATAAATGTATGTTTTTAGCCATATCTGTGACCTGTGTATTAGATGAATTCCAGTTATTGTTTGGGAGGACGGTAATTAATGTGTCTTTTCTAATGTATCCTTCAGCAGAAAGACAGTGAATCTGAAGGTGTGTGTGTGTTTATTGTCTGTCCTCTGTCAATAAACTGGTTGATTTGTGTTTCTGGGTGAAATTTGCTATATATTTACAGGACAAACATTTTTTGACAACATACACTGGTGTGTAATTTGATTTGTAAAATGAAAGTTCAAAAACAAAACATGTAGACTATTATCTGAGTAACCAAATTATGTTGTTTAATTCTATAGTTACCTCCTACACACAAAAAAATCATGACTGATTTTATAAATGGTTGCAATTAGTTTAAAATGCATGATGATCACTGACTGTTTGGTTTAGTTTATATATATATATATATATATTAGGGGTGTAACGATATACGTATTTGTATTGAACCGTTCGGTACGAGGCTTTCAGTTCGGTTTTCGGTACGCATTTTTAAAACAAACGGTTCTAAGGACCATTTTTCCTGCCGACCAAAATTTTGTTATTTCAAATGTAGGCGTGTCGCGCGCTCATAATGTAAGAGACGATGGTGTGACCACAACATTGCCCAACATCAAATGGCAAATGTAATGTAAGTGGAAAGAAACTGAGCTACTCGTTATTGTGTGGTTGACGGACCGTTTATCAGTTTGGACCAATGCAGCGCGAGCCGATCTTGATCAAGCTACACAGCGAAATCCAGTAAAGAAAAAATAATAATTTACCACTGAAATAATAACATCGCTGCGAGATCTAATGATGAGAAATATTCACATTTCTCCGTTATTAACGGATCAAACAGCGCTGATGTGGAAACCAGGAAGAAACATTGTGCCATGAATGAACTATTCAGTGTCCACAGATCAGCAACATTCACCATGGATTTACTGTAGTAACACTACTAACTGTAACCATGGGAGTTTGATAGTAGGCTATAATGCTTTCAAGTAACATTACGTAGGTTTTATTTCGACATTATGAATACAATTGCTGCCCTCAAATGTTAATCTGAACTAAAATAAACCTTTGTTTATAACTACTACAAAATTACATTTCATTTTGTCCAAGGAGGCGTTTTGTTTTATATGCTCCTAAGAAGAGTCAAGTATAGCTCCATCATTGCTCAAAGTAAAAAAAATCATACTTTATGATGTTAGTTTTAATAAAAATATAATTAAAAAAAATTAAATCAAGGACATTTCTCTGGCATTTCTTTCTTTTTGCTGTATCGGAAACGTACCGAACCGTGAACTTTGTGAACCGTTACACCCCTAATATATATATATATATATATATATATATATATAGTTTGATACCAATCATAAGAGCTGTGATATTTTGACTAAACAAGATGACAAAACTAACCTTTGGTATACATAAAATATGATATTTGATAAAAAGTTCTCACTTGTTTTCTGTTATGAAATCAGGGTTCACTTGAACATTCACATTTATCGTCCAGAACTCATTCTAACAACTTAATATGTTTTAATGTTTCAGACTCGATGGAAGTGAAACAGCAAAGATAAGAACTGATAATAAAACACAGTGATCACAGTTCACACCTGCAGTGAAGCCCCTCCCACAACAATTCACCAATAAATACTGGGAATATTCCCATCATCCTACAAGAGAAGGACAAACTCCAGGAGTAGCAGCTGAAATCTGTGTGACTGTTAAAGATGGAGTTTATTAAAGAGGAGATTGAAAACATGAGTGATCCAGAACCATCCAGAATAAAACATGAAGATACAGAGGAACAAATAGGTTGGTGTCCATTCTTGATTCTTCATTGTTGATGTGAATTAGTAAGCAGTATGTGGATGATAAATGATAGAGAAATACATCTAAATGATCATAATCTTGTATATAGCAGTTGTCAAACATATTTTTACTATATTAACAATGAATGACCGAATAACAAGTGAAAGATCTAAACTCTGTTGTTTTCTGCTATTAAATAAGGGTTCACTTGAACTGATTCTAACTGTATTTCTGTGTATTTTAGACCAGGTGAGAGTGAAAGAGCAAAGACAAGAACTGAATGAAGTGGAGGAGGAACATCATAACTTTACAATTCAAAGAACAAAAGCCAAAAAGACGCACACCTGCACTCAGTGTGGAAAGAGTTTCACACGGAAAGGAACCCTTAACACACACATGAGAATTCACACTGGAGAAAAGCCATTTGACTGTGATCAGTGTGGTAAAGATTTTATTTCATCATCAAAACTAAAACACCACCTGAAAGTTCATTCAGATGAGAAGCCTTATGTGTGTTCTCTCTGTGGAAAGAGTTATCCACGGCTGGACAGTTTTAAACTGCACCAGAAAACACATAATGAAGTGAGAGATCATGTGTGTTGTGACTGTGAGAAGAGCTTTACTAGACCTGACTATCTGAAACTGCACCAAAGAATTCATACTGGAGAAAAACCTTACAAGTGCTCATATTGTGACAAGAGTTTTGCACGGTCTCCATCTCTGAAATCACACGAGCGACTTCATACTGGAGTGAAGTCGTACTACTGTACTCAGTGTGAGAAGAGTTTCAGACATTCAAGTAATCTAGTGGCTCATATTAGAAAGCATTGTTCTGTGTCACAGTGAGCAAATGTTTTGTTAGATTCACATAAAGTAAATGTGTAGTTAGTTAACTAATAAACTAGTGTTGCTGTGAAATGCCACAAGATTTGTGTTTTATATGCTGAAGAACAAGAAAATGATTGAAAATTATTTTGATTGAACGCTTACTCAAAGAAATACTAAAATGAAAAGAGACTGGAAACAAATGCAGAAATAAACGCAACAATCAATTATTTTTTAATATATGAAACAATTCCCTGAATTTGATCAGGTTTTTTACATTTATTAATGTTTTTAGTTACATAAAGCCTTTTATTACATATACAGATGTATGTACAATAACTCTGTACAATAACAACAAATAAAATGACCATTTCACTGACAATGTGTGATTTTGTGAGTAAAAGGTTTCTACAGATTCAATAATTAAAATATATAACTGCAAGCAGTGATTTGCGGGGCCAAGCAACTTTTGGCCATGTTTGACATATTTGGATTTAATTTGGAAACTTATTCAACTTTGCAAAATTCCCATCGTTAAACAGTTGAATTATTACATATTTTACATAATTAGTACATGTTGAATTATTAGAAAACCTTTAAAGCTATAACCTTTTTTTACACAGCATGGTCTGAAATACGCTGAAGTCATAACTTCCTCCATATACCCATCACAATATTATCTTCTCCATGAACTATTATAAAGAAGTGCACAACTGATAAAAAGGTCAATTTAAGTGTCATTTATGTTTTGTCAACACTTAATCTACTAACAGTACACTTTCAGATTTGTGCAACAACTCCATAACTACTGTCGATATTCCAAAGTCCACAAACTCCTACACAAATGTACACTACTGAAAAAAAGGTAAGCTAACAGACATTTTCTACATTAGTTGCAAAATATTGTGTAAATATTCACTTATGAAGTCAATGAATGTATTTTTTTTCATAACTTCCTCCATATATCCATCACAAGATTCTCTGCTCCATGAACTTATAAAGAAGCGCACAAGGAGTCACGTGACGTGGTTGACGAGAATGGCTGCTTGAGGCTATACTGTATGGCAAGCCAAGAGGGTCAGAATTACGCTATAGATTAATCGCGTTTACAGCCAGACGCCGTAAAATACGGCGTTTTAAAACGTATTTCGCGCGTTTTTTACGCCGTTGTAATTACAGACGCCGTAAAAAACGCGCGAAATACGCCAATGACGCCGTATTCCACGGCGTTTTATTGTGCATGGAAAGCGCCGCTTTTTACGCCGTTCATCTTGCCATATGACGGCGTAAAAAACGCCGTTTTGGTTGAACAGAGCGCGCGTTATTTTACGGCGTTTTGCTAATAGTATAATGAGTCACGCCCACTGTTTTACACAGCCAGTAAGTTTGAACTGTTCTCTCCCAATCAATGATGAACTGAGTCAGACCAGACCAATTCAGCACGGATCATTATAGCCAAGGATCATTCGAATCTGTGAATGGTTTATAATTTTTTGTGTATAGCCTACCTACACTCACAATAAAAACAAAACATTGCTTGTATAATGAAGAAAACAAACAGCTTTCCTTTCCGTGAACTTGCCTCTCAAAAGCAATCATTTTCACCATGAATCGAAATAAATTTTGTGTATAGATAGGCTATTTATTCCTTTTATAGGCTATGATTTTATCCTGGTTTTTTTTTCTTGTTCACAGAAGTGCTACAGGTGCATACGATGATGCTTCTGTTCTTTATGCAGCTATTTGTGCATGCAGGCTAAAACTAAACCCCTGGAAAAACATGTTTGTGTGTTTTAATGGGTCACAGACACGTGTAAATTGTAATTTAACAATCTTGTCGGTTAATGAATGGAGATGATCGCGTCGGTTGAAGGTCACAGGGGAAAAAAACCCTAAATGAATCCAATTTGTTGATAAAAGGAAACATTTCTAATTTTCGTTTAGTTAAGTTGTTCAACTAATACTTTCCGGTTTATGTCGATTAGCATAACTGTTTTTTAATAGTTTTAGTTTTAGTAAACTAACCCTGAACATCCACAGATCTGTAGCCTAAATTTTGCTCTTTTAAGACAATATAAAGTTGGTCAGAGGTGACTTGAAAGAAGGGAGTAAGTATTCATTACTGTTTCTGAGATACTGTATAATTTGACAGGTTTGTGGAGTAAACACTAACAGGTCTTTTTCATGCCATTTCTCTCTCTCTCTCTCTCTCTCTCTCTCTCTCTCTCTCTCTCTCTCTCTCTCTCTCTCTCTCTCTCTCTCTCTCTCTCTCTCTCTCTCTCTATCTCCCTCTCTCTCTCTCTCTCTCTCTCTCTCTCTCTCTCTCTCTCTCTCTATATATATATATATATATATATATATATATGCGCATATAATTACTTAAGTAAGATATATGTAACCATGTTCAATGGATGAGCTAATGATTGGTTATAATGCAGACACATTAACCTAGTAAAGATCATTATGAAAGAAATATGGACATTGTATGTTTCTGTAAAAAGCTGCAGTAGGATACATTTGCCCCTAACCAATCTTAAAACGTTTTAAGTCTGTCCTACTAACATGTCTGTGGAGGCATACGAGGGACTGTGCTGCATTATGTTGGCAAGATTGAGTGATGTACAACATCAAATGAGTGAGGTGAAGTCAAAATATAGGTGAGTGCTTATCTGTGGTTTAAATTTGTAATTTTGCATAGGTGTTTTGTATTGTATGCACATGGACTTGCAGGTAAGTATCTGTACCAGTACATGTATATTGCATGTTCGGTCCCTGTCTTGTACTGTACCTTATGAAATAGCTTAATCTTTCTTTGTAGACATACTTTTGGTATTGCATTGTGTGAAAGTTACAAAGTAAAATATTTTGTTACTAAAATGATGGTGTCATTTTATGAGCTCAACAGGATTGAGAAAGTGAGGATGCAAGATATTGATCATTTCAATTAACCTGTGTTCACTTTATCACAGGCAGATTGTGGTGGATCCAAGTGTTCTCTCAATTGATGAGGAAGATGGAGAAGCATTTTGTGAGGAATTTCCTTATCTCCATGATGACAGTGATTCATCCGATGAAGACTGAGTAAGGATAAATAATGTACTAGATCACTAACCATAAAACTTTGCAAGCTTCTCCTAATGCTCAGGTACTTTCCTACTAGCTCCTGGCTGACAGAAGTTGTGATTAACAATACTCAGCAGTCAGTACTTTTTTTTATTTTCTAAGGAGTCTATTAGAGCTTCTGCGTGTTCATTGTATATCCCATTTGCACTACATTCGACTTGAACAATTACGCCCAGTGTTAATTTACTTCTAAGGTAGTTGCCTTGCCACTTTATTCACCAACTTCTTCTACCTCTCTGTTTGATTGTGCTGCAATAATTGTACATATACCTACACCTTTACTGTGTTGCCCTCTCATCCTGTATCTTATCTGTATTTCTTACTTTTTCTATACCTCCGTATAATTAATATGTAACTTTGTGTAATTTCATGTGTAACTACTTCATCTTGCAGGTCATCTTGCACCTTTTGCTTTATCTTTGCCAGGTCGTCATTTCTGTTGAGAATGTGCTCTCTAAAAGCTCACCTGGTTAAATAAAGGTTAAATAAATAAAAAGAAGTAGGGGTGTAACGGTTTGAGATGTTCACAGTATGATAACCGTTAGAGAAAGATCAGCAGTACCAACTATAAGCACAGCAGAGGTTGTTAATTACTTGAGTAAAAGTACTTTTCTGAGTAACTCTGAGTTCACAAGTTTTGGGAAGTCCCTACTTAAGACCAAAATGATCATGAAAAGGGAGTTCATAACTTACCAAAAACCATGATTGATATTTTGTTTACTTTTTCTATTTGTTTCATAGGTCACTGTTAAAATATCAACTGCCTTTACATGATCATTTTGATCTTAAATAGGAACTTGTGAACTCAGAGTTACTCAGAAAAGTACTTTACTCAAATAATTACCCACCTCTGAAGCGCAGTACTTGTACATTCGAAATGTAGGTTACAATTTACTTTTAAAGTTTTTGTCTGACCAAATTGAAACTAAAAATCTACCGGTAATCTCCTCTCCCTATTTACTTCCAAAACTCAATTTTGCTTGTTCTAGCCAGCGATAGTATGATCTAGAAGAATTTTTTCCCAGATTTTTCTTTTCTATGCTACGTATTTGCCTAACTTCCTGTAATTGTTACAAAAGTCCAAACCATCCAAAAAGTGTTTTCACACTGCAAACGAACCTAACCATGGTTCAGTTTGGTCCAAGACCACCAATTTTGATTGGAGCAAAATGTAGTATTTTGATCTGGACCGTGGTCCGAGGCACCTTTCACACCTGAAATATTGTTTCGGAACAAAATGAAAAATGAGGTAGTTCCAACCAAATGAGGTGTGTGAAAACGTTGGTTGTTTTTTTTTGGTTGGTTGCCTGAAGTTTATATGATTGTGTAAATGTAATTGACTCTCTCAAGAGAACTGATATTTACAATGGGAATGTTAATTCTTTTTCCAATTCAGGAATGCACCTGATATTAAATTAATACAATATCTTGAATGACAAATGCCACGGTATGATAACAGCTTTCCTTTTAATAACACTTATTAAGCATTTGGGCAGTGAATACACCAGTTGTTTCAGTTTAGCAAGCATCATTTTTTTCCATTCATATATGATGTCATCAGCTACACAACTGTACGGGCCTTAATTGCCTTACTGTGTGTTTCAGAATGAGCCACACATTCTCAATTGGAGACAGGTCACGATTGCGGGCAGGCCATGCTAGCACCTGCACACTCTGCTTATACAACATTGTGCTTGTGAGCAGCCGTGGCCTGTGGATCTTAATATGCCAGGGAGGGTTCATGTTATGCTTGGGACTGGTGCAAAATGAACTGTGCCCAACGCAACAAACCCAGTGTGCGATACCATTCGGATTCGTTCCAGTCTCGAGCATAACGTGAATCCACCCCACCAAATTAAGATCCACCAGCCGCGGCTGCTTGTGAGACATCTGTGAGGGCACCTATAATGCAGAAATATATGTACACATTTTGGAGCAACAAAAACTGCCATTCAGACATCTTTTCCAGGAGCGTCCATGCATTTCCCAGCATGACAATGACAAACCAGTCTGCTTGGATTAAAAACTCAAGGACATGTAGAATTGAATGGGGAAAAGTGTTCTTGCTAAACCGAACCAACTGGCATTTTTACTTCCCAAAAGCTTATTAAATGTTATTAAAAGAATAGGTGATGTTACATAAAACAGTGGTAAACAGTACAAATATTTTGACTGTTGCAGTCATCAGATTTAAAATTAGTGTATATTTTCTAAAATAAATGAAATACTCAAACATGTACTTTGTAATGTGTTAATAATGGCAGAGGGGATAAGACACATGCCTTTGGTGTGAGAGACCCGGGTATATAACCCTATCTTTTATAGGTGAAACATTATACCTGTTAACTTGGACAGCTATTAGAACAAGGCTTACATTACATAATATACATGTTCTTATTATTGCAGTCGTAACTATAGTATAAAAAAAGTCTATGTCAATTATATTACTGAAATATGGACACTCAGTCATGTGTATATAAAGCTGTGTATGCTGAATGGTACTACAGTATTTTCACTTCCGTTACATAAACAGTAGCCCCTAATGTACTTACAGTAAGTTAAATAGGATAGTGAATAAGGCATTAAAACAGTTGCTGCATTTTCTCATATGATTTCTTACTCTCTTTTGAAACAGTGGGACCAAATGGAAGGACAGTTGGGAGCCTTTGTCCAACCTTTGCCGCTGAAACAGCTTTGAAATCCTCCCATACTCATAATAATAAAATCTTATGTTTTCTATTGAGTTTGTCTTGGGTTATTTTTGTTATAGGGTTGGGAGCTGAACTATGCTGCCTCCACACATCACACCATTTATTTTTATTTTTTTTCCGTTTTATTCTGTTACCCGTTCCTTCAACCCTAGACTAAATAGGGACGTAACAGGCAGCTATAGCAGATGTGAAAACTACAAAACTACAGTGAGATGTTGGAGTCCATGTGACAGGATGTTTGTGAAGAAAATAACTCAAATAGCTATTTACAATGGCAAGAAGCTGCTATGTTTAGAGTTGTATGTGTAATCAGTGTAAATAAAACAAAGAATATCATTCATTTGTTCATTTCCATTTTTTAATGAGCGTAATATGGTTCATTATACTGGACATTTACTCTGTATAGCCATTAATAAGTATATCTTTGTGCATAAGTGTTGAGGTCATAATATAAGTATCAAAAGAGCAAAGGCCTGTATACTGTATTATGCTCTATTGGACAATGTTTTAACTTAAGTCAAATCTAAATGTCTAACAAAAGGTCAGATTTGGAAGCATTATTATGTGTACTTTTTAATTTATTTGTAGAATCAAATCACCTGGGTTTTTCAATGATGTAATTGGTCAAACACAATACATAATGTTTCACTATTTGTTTTAAATTGCAGTCTAGATTTTGAGTAATATAATACAGTTTTTAAATGCACTGTAAGCAATTGCTGTAAATTTACAGCCAATTTTCAACATTAAAATACTGTTTTCATGTTAAACAGTTTAGTACTGTAGTTAGCAATGCATTGTGGGCTGCTTAACTTGGAGAAACAGGACAGAGGCCCTAAACAGTATGCTGATGTTTTAAATTACAGGAAACTACAGTATTTTTTTTTAGAAACTGAGTGACTGGGGAATTTGGAGCACGGTCAGAAGTTTGATACAACGTCAGTCTTTTACATTGAGGCTACTACTTTTGTTTTGGTAAATTTTCTTTATAAAATACAGAAATAATTTGCCATCACTCCTGCGGGACTTCAGGAACCATCATTTCCAGAAGAGGACGCACAATTTAGATGACGTGCATGCAACACATCATCGAGTGTTCTTCATCAACAACATCCATCGGGTCTTGGATCTACAAATTAAACGGTAATTAAAATCGTATTCATATTGCCACGAATGTTTGATATCAAACTGATGTTCAGGAGCTTGTCTAGCTAGGGATTTGAACATGTCATTTATCAGTGAGGGCTAGATTGAATGACAATATTTTTGGGTGTTTTTTTTTTTTTTGTTTAATTTTGGTAACATTAGCCGAACGTTTGCATCCGAGGAACAACACTTGTTAATCGGTAAGAGGCAATCGGCAGATGGAGGCAGCAGGAAAATATCATTGTACTGGAATAATTAGCCTAAATTGATGCCCGGTGATTAAGGATTTATTTCAACCAGACCATACGATTATTGGAACATCGGCTATAACCGAGATGGTTTTGGTGAGATTTATTTTGTGTCGACTTTTAATGTAGCCTAGTGTGTTTTACAAACATCTAATAAGAAAATTAAGCTAGATCGGTTAAAGAGAGACACTTGAATCCTCAAGGCTTTGCATTTTTCTGTTTAAACGGAAAATTAATGTGAAAATATTGCCTTTCTGGACTCTTTGTGAATGCATTTGGTTTATCTGTTGCTGCGTGTCTCCACACAGACTACATCTCCCAACTGTTTTAGCTTTCTCAAACCGTTTAGCATCATCTGTGGCTTTTCTTTCACAATCTTAACATTGCAACTCGGTTAAGATTAAACATTTCTCCGTGAAGACTGATACGGTGTCACTAAAAAGCAGCCAGCCGTAATCAAGACTAATCAGGCAGTAACAAAATGTTCCCATGTCAGATCTGTTGTCATAACTGTGCCACAATAGTAACATACGTAAGGCACATGAGAATTCATAAAAATACACCTAATTTAACTTTTAAGTGTGTTTTGCCAGATTGCAGTCAGAATTTTAAAAACTTTTCAACGTTTAAGTGTCACACTTACAGACATAACAAACGTGTAGTTAGGCCTACTTTGTCTGGTGTTGAACTAACATGTCATGTTAATATCTGCAGTGCAAGGTGTGAGACTTTGACTGCATTTTACTCTCATTTGAAAACACACATTAGAGAGGGGAAAACAGTTGCTTGTCCTTATAGACACTGTAGCAAGAGCTTTACAGTTTTATCAACATTCACATCACACATGAGTCGG